TCAAATTTCTTGTCAAGTCACAGAAACGTAGAGCCCAAGTCCTCAAAAATTTGTGATATAAGTCTTTTGAATAATTCTCAGATTTGCTCTTAGTTGCAACCAACATTAATTACAGAGAGCAGAAGGAGGGTGGGAGGGAGGAGTGGAAAAGCGAATCTTACCTATGGAACATGAACCCTGGTCCTGCCGGTGTTCTCCTGGCTGCGGCTGCCATCTAGTGCTTGTCAGGCATGGTGAGGTGCTGGGCTTATTTCGAGTCTGCGCGAATCTTCTCCAAGACTGAACTCCGCCTGTGTACACAGGCAGGATAAATAGCACAGAACCACCTCTCTAAGGGGCAGCAGAGGAGGGAGATTTAACCCAGCAAGCTGAGGAAGAGCTCCTAAGAAATCAGTTCTCAAGTATCAAGTATTTTGAGTAGCATCACTTCCTCCGAGTTAACTGCTTGACGTGGTTGTAAGCGTGGTTTCTACTGAGCCAAGGACAGACATAACGAAGAACAAACCTTGATCTTCCACTGCATAAAAGGGTGTCAGGCTTCTGTTCTTCCCTACTGCTGTGCTATGCAGGCTTCTGTTCTTCCCTACTGCTGTGTAGTTGCTGTTGTATTTTGAAATTCTTTTCCTTTCACTTAAATGGCTGTACAGAAGGCCTGATTACAGCAACATTGGTGTAGCGAGAATCATGTCAGTGTAACACTCATCACTGGAACTGTGCAAGCCAAGCGTACGTATGGCACACAGCGTATAAACTCCAGCTAATGCAGCTGTCATTGGCATAGACTGTAAGCTTCCGGGTCAGGATGCACATATGTCATTATTTTTAGCATTTTACTACCTTCGATTGTGCTACAAGATTATTTCTGCTGGATTTATTCTGATTAGATCAGGGAGATCTAATCCACCCTCCTCAAACAGGCAAGAGTTTGTAGCTCCTTAATACGGTGGGACAACGTGCTCTCAGCTGAGTGCACTCCTCCGGCTGGTTTGTTCCAGATGGTGCACGTGGCTTTGAAGTGTGGCAGGTTGTGTTTGCCCTGCTGTTGTAGGAGGCAGACAGCGGACAGTGGGCACAAGAGACGTTTCAGAAGCTCCTGCTGATCTCGGGGAAGCCGTGGACCTTTGTGTGAATATTGTACAAACTGACGAGTGAGGTGACAGACTACATCCACTGGCACTTTTGGTGCAGGACAAGCAGTAATCCAGAGATCGAATGGATTATGTTGTCCAGGAGGCCTGGCTGACTCCGGCTCTGGCAGAGACTCTTGAGGTGTCACATCACTGACAACGTCCTTCTGATGCCTGGAGTTTGTGCAAACAAACGAAGCCATGCCAACTGCTGTGGATTCAAAAACAATGTGCCATTGGAAAGTTGCCTGTCAGCACTTTCGCTGCAGGATCAGACTCGTGAAGCAGTTACTTCACTCACAGGTAACGAATAGAGCTGAATTAGCAGCTGGCTTTGAGAGGATGGGAAGCAGCTCAGGAAAAGAAAGAGATCTCCCTTACTGGAATTGCTTCATACCGAGGTCACAGGTTAATGTCTTGTATCTAGTCAGAACCTCTAGTTCACACCCTGGCATCACACCATGCAGAATTAAAACACAGCTTTGAGTCACAGGTATTACGAGGAACAGTCTGTATTCCAAGGGGGGCGGGGGAAGGGATTTTCTGCGAGGCTGCTTAACAGGGCTGCACACAGGCCTGAAACCTTCTACGACTTTGTCTTCAGCAGTTTTTCATGCTGGCAAAAGCTCTGAAGGATGGAATCTACTGGAACACCTGCTTTGAAGAAGGAGCAAATCTTTGCAGTTTGTCACAGAAAACAATCACAAACTATCAGCAAAGCAATAAATAGAGAGGGCTAGCAAAAAGCAGTGATAGCCAGGACAGTAGGCTAAGGCTACCTCCCCTTTTTCATACGTATCAGTGCTAGAAATCAGTATTACCTGTTTTGTAGTACTGATTGTTTTAGTCTCAGCTGAAGACCTTTGTTAAGAACAGCAATAGGCTCTCTAGCAACTATAGTGATGATGTTGACCATTCAATCAAATTCTCAAAGTAAAGGTTAAGGGACTGGTTAAATTTGCCCATACATTCCTTTAATCTCCAGTAGTGTTTCTTGGAATTTTTCACTCGCTCCAGTTGCTGAATCTGTCTGCCTGTCTCCTCCTTCCTGCACTTGTAAGTTTTGAGTGTTCTTCGCTCAAAATTCAATTTCAGAGTTGAAATTCAAACCATAGTAGAATTTGCCAGCTGAAGGCATGAGTTGTTCACTGAAAATCTATGAAATAAAGCTTCCTGTATACTGGACTGTTGATGTATTCGAGGAGGAATACTCCTGATTTTAATTTGACAGTCTACCTGTTCAATCTGTGGTAAATGGGTTTCCTTTCTGATAGTCTCATTGCCCAGAAAAAGCTATCTTATAAATATATACCTTTTCTTTAAATTATAAAAAAAAAAAACCCCTAAGATGATGATCTCTGTCATTCCATCTTTCAAAGCAACAAAACCAGGTATTTTATCATTCTGAACATTCAGGGACTACCTCTCGTATATTATCTCTCAAAAGCATTTTGATTACACAGCAATCATGACTTCTCCGTTTTGTACGAAAAAAAACTTACTACAAAAATTTACCAAAATTGCAGGCTAGCACAGAACCAAAAAGAAAATGCCTTTAAACCTAATAATTACATTTCGGTTTCCTTTTGCATATTAGATGAAGAATTATCTGAGAAGATAACGCTTAGCAGAGTAGCAAGTAGCAGGGGCTTCTGATCTCCCTGAAAGGGAGACTAACACTAAAAAAAAAAAGCAGTCAGTTGATAAAAGCTGCCATTTACAGTCAAAAAACAATTAGGTTGGTCTCCAACACAGAGAGGGCCAAGATGGGAAATTGATATAAATTTTTCCTCTAAGAGTAATATTAGGAAAGCCAACAGTGAGAAAGCTACATGCTTCTACCAGCTGATGGACCTCCAAAACAAATCCCAGGCAATCCATAAAGTTTGAGCTCTGAGTTTGGAGATGATCAATGCACCATGATCTTGTTGAAAAGTGTTGGAATATTCACTCTAAAAACCTACTGCAGGTGTATACATAACCCCACTTGTATAAATGCACAACAGTTTATGATCTCTCTACATCAGTGGCCAAGGAGAGAAAATCTTCAGCTCAGACAAAGTTTGATGCCCCCAGATCCAGCTTGTTGGGGCCCAGCACTGTACTCTGGTGAACGTTAAGAAAGGAAGCACATCTGAAGCCGCTGCTGCTAAAGCATATTTATTTCAAATGTGTTCTCCCATCCCAAATATTTTTTAGATGTGTCTCCATTTCACAAATAAATCATTTTAAAAAGTTATGCAGAATTTGTTATACAACAGCCACAAAAATGGTACAGTAGACATACTTCTCAAGAAATAAGGATGACCCCACATCATTTACAGCAACAAAGTTACAGTGAAATGCTCAAAAAGTTTCTATATTTGTCAATGGGAATTTAAAAAGCAACATAAATGCAAGTCTGGCTTTTTAAGAAGACCTTTAAATAGCAGGCTGATTTCATTAACATTAATCATCTGGCATTAGATATAACTTCAAATTAAATATTTCTGCAAAATCTGCAAAAATCAACTGATACTAAAGACTGAAATTTATAATACAATATTCGCTGAAACTTCAAGACAGGGAACATCACTGTCCAAAACAAAAATAGTGGGACACCAGTACAAAAAGTCAGATTTTCCAAAGCATTGCTGTGTCTTGACTGAACCACCAACGAGACAACTTTCTGCAGGAAACTTTAGACATCAGTCTGAAAACTGATCCAAGTTAATTAAATTTTTAAAGTGCACTAAATATTTGAACAGTATGCTGATACTTTTAACAATCTTAAATACAAAAATTCAAAGGACCAGTACAGTTAACAAAATTAAGAACTGGCACCAAGAACAAAATTACTAATATTTCTTAGCTTTATAAACCCTTTAGGTTTAGATACGTATCTTCTTTTGTGCCTGTACACTCTATAACAGAATGGAAACCTGATCCTGGTTGGTCACTGTTTTCACAACTTACTGAAAAGTATGTAAAACATCTGGACTATGCGCTTTTTTTTTTTGCCAGCTGAGTAACTCTCTTGGATTTTAATGCTTCCTTAGACTTTGAAACACACTCCTCCATGAAATCCAAGGAAAACGAACAAGAATTACAACTGCCAAGAGTAATACATAGGACCTAGTATCAGCCGATTCCAATGGTCAAATGCAAATCATACTTCATCTTAATTTAGAGGAAGTCCATTTGGTGATAGAAGGTGTGCTCAGAACTTATTTCTGGGAGAGGCACATACTTTGTGGCACAATAATTATTATCTTTTGCAACTGCAATGAATTTGCAAGCGTACTTGCCATGTAAAAGGCTAAAGAGATTGTGTTTATCTACCATAAGAAAGGTAGAACGATGACTGAAAAAACAATGACAGCGAAGTAATAAAGGCTTTAAATTAGAACCAAAACTACAAGCAACTAACAATGTTTGGAAATGTGTGAACTACCTCTACAGAAATTGTAACAAGGTAAGGAACAATAATGCCTTCATCTTTTGGGGTTCCGGATCAGATGTGATGATGATGTTGTGCTAAGAGGGTGAATTTTGTTTGCAACCTATGGAACTAGATATTTTTATTTATCTATACATCAAAGAGTCTCTTATCGTGCCTTCTGTGTACTATAAAACTTGAAAACATCAGTTGTATGTATTTGCTTCTTTTTATAGATCTTTAGGTAATCGTGATGTTAAATAAAACACTTAACAGTAAAAGCTTACTTAGAATGTTGGTCCAATCTCAAAACACTACTCAGCAGTCACACCAGCACTGAAAGACTACCATCTATTTACGTATCTTTTTATCAGGTTCAAGGTGTAGAACAACCACCACATGGGACTATGAGACAACATTTTACAATCATCACATTTAAGGTGTAGTTTTGGTATTCAGTTAGCTGCATCATCCCTTTTCAGAGGAATTATTTGAAGGGCTTTGGCTATTCTCTCTCCTACAGCTCGACTACTTGCTGCAATTATTCTTCGAGACATCAAATCAAATGGTCCACCTAGAAATCAAAGCAAACAAAGTAACTATCTTGTATCTGCAGAAAACTGAATGTTGCTAAGAAAATGAGCATTGCAAAAATCAAGCGTAAGGGACACTTCACTATTTAGGACCAAATTTTGCCCCTGGACACAACAGGTATCTCATACGAGCAACATTTAAAATCTCTTCAGTGTATGTTTACTGCCTTTTTTCACCCTTTCAGGTGCTCAGCCAAGGCAGTAAAGGTTGTCTTGTAGCTTAAGAAGATACAATTGACCCTCTCTTTGTCTATGAACTGGATGGGAACTCTGTTCAGTTGTGGTAAGTTTGAGAGAGGATTGAAAAAATCTCTTTGCCTTCTCATTTCAGCTGTGTTTTGCTCCCAACTGGCTGTTTAAAAGGACAAAATAGTATCACGCATGCCTGTGTATTTACCTGATGCATCTAAGAGTACTCCGCCTGCTTCAGTAATAATGATTCCAGCCCCTGCCATATCCCAGCAGTGAATCCCCATTTCATAATAGGCATCAGCTCCACCCGTTGCCACAAGGCACATGTTCACAGCTGCTGTACCAACAGCTCTAATCCTAAAGGAGACATAGTTGTTGTTTCCGTTGAGAACAGTTTGTAAGAAAGTCACAATGTCTGTGTACACTGCATGAGAACACAAAAGCATCACATGCAAAGTGAACTGAGCTAGAGGAAATGTGATGGAATGCTGCACTAAAACAAATAAAAAATTGGATATGAAGTTATGCCTGAGTAGCTTGAAGACCTCTCTGAATATAGCAAATTTCTAGAAATAACATTTATGAATTCTATTAAACAATTTTTTTTTTAGAGTGAAAACACATCTTAAACAGCTTCCATATTATGGAAGATATCCACCTGTGAAACAATAACAGATATTCTGCTTTGCTTTTTGAATGTTATAAACCAGTTACTTCTGTTTCTCTGGTGATGCTCAGTAAGCATCTCTGACTTGCAAAAAACCCTAACAGCAATAAACACAAAAAATAAATTACATAGTATAAATTTGGTCTGGATAACTTCATCAAAAACCCTTGTGTTCCAAATTCCAGTTTCTTTTGGAAATGCTGATGCACTTAGAAAGTGTAACTTGTACGAACAACTGCAGTTATTTCAATTATCAGTAAAACATACATTAAATTGTAACTGATAGCAGCCAAGATACTGCAAGAAGCAACTTAAATCAACTCCAATCTCAATCTAGTCTTTACAAATAAACACAAAAGTTAAACTGACAACATACCTAAAATGTATTCCCTACTTCCAATTTTGCATATATTCTTTAATGACATCAGAAGACTTTCTGAACGTAGAAAAAAATCTACATGTTAAGTGTCAAAGCAAGAATCCTGTGAATCTCAGCATAAAACTACAACCCCTTTTAGATCAGAAACATGAGTAGGGTTGAGTGAAACCACCTTTAGATGTAAAATGGTTTGCAGAAATGTAGGCTTTGGCTTATCTGGAGGAGAGGAAGCAGGGAATGTAATCAAAATAAGGGCAGTTTATGGACAATTTCAACTACTTTGACATATTCAAAAAAATTGTAAGGTGTTGAAAGAGAAAAGGGAGATCTACATTTGTCTTCTGATATATATAAAAAAACCCTACAACGATTTTCGTTACTACATGGAAAGAAAACTAAGAAACGTAATATGGCTTCTGTTTATCCAGTTTTGCTCCTTGTGTGTTTTGGGGAGGGGGGGGAAGCACAAAATTGTTTTGTTGTTTTTTTTAAATAGTAAACATCATGCTTTTTAGTCCTACAAAACCAACCATGCTTTGCTTCTCAATACTGATGTTAGGGCTCTCTTATATACGCCCCAGATTGAAAAAGCTAAAGACACTTAGAGTTTCTCTGCAGAAGCTACTAGACAAAAACATTTAAAGCATATTTCACATTTAAGGTGTCAAATGTAATGCAACCAATCCTTCCTAAAAATTATCGTATTAACATATTTACAATATTAACAGTACCATTAAATATAAAAAAATAGGCAGTATCTTACCCATGAATTGGAATACTAAGTAGTCTTTCCATGTTAGAAAGAATTATTTTTATAGTCTCTGGATCACGATTTGATCCCAGTTCTGTTACTAAAAGAGATTTTGTAATGTCTGGAAAAGAAACAAAACCTCACTTTTACAACAGTACAACTTGTATAATAACACTAATTAGCAGAGTTTACTCCATTGCTTTCTTATAAGACTGAACAGAAGTAAGGTATTTTAATATATTACATATATTGAATGTATAAAAATCTGTTCTTACATGGAAAATGGTAGAAAAAAAATACAACAAATAAAGCATGATCTGTTTAAATTGTGCATATACATTAATCGATGGCATTAGTAAATAAAATTCTACTGCTATAAAATTTAGAACAGCCCTCAGATCTTTAAAGGTCCCACTTCAAGTGCGGATATTACTTTACGTAGGGTAGTAAGTATACAAGAGCAATACTGATTTAAACCACTAGTTCACACCTGAAGAAGTTGAATTGTTTGGTAGATTTGTTACAGACTCTGAAGAACAATCACAGAGAGATTGCAGACATACAGGGAATGAAAAACAAACAAACAAAGAAACCGCAGCACAGACATACAGGGAATAAAATCTTCAATTGCCGAGTCTGCTTTTGCAAAGATCACAAGCATGTTATACTCATCAAAGAGAACATAAAAGCTATTTCTCAAAACTGAAAAACCTGTGGCCAAACTGTCTTTGCAAATGAAACTATGACCTAAGAAACAGGAATATATCCAGATGTAAAAGTGTTAATGCCTCATTTGCAAAATCAAAGTCGTTACTAGAAATAAGCTACTCAGTTCAGCTTACCTTCTTGGCCTGATACTTGAAGTTTTTGACCATTGCAAAATGCACCTTTTCCTTTTCTGGCAGTATACATCTTGTCTTCTATACAACTATACACAATTCCAAACTCTATCTGCAAGAAAAAGTAAAGACATCTTTTTTCCCTTTCTTCCTATTTGCTGTGAAAATACAGATTGTACTTATAACTAGAAACAAAGAATTAATTTGGTTTGTCTTGATTAGATATTAAGTAATAAAAAGTATACCTTTTTGTTTACAACAAAGCCAATTGAAACTGCCACAAATGGAAACCTACAAAACAAAACATTTCACTAATTTATAGTGAGATACTATGCTTCTTTCATTACCATGCTTACTCTTAATAAAAACAAAATTCAGTTAAATGTAATGCATATTTCAAAAAGAAACTTGGACTACATAGGAAATATCAGTTTTCTGAAACTTGCACAATTTACTATGAAAACAGACCCAACAACACTGATTACCATTTAAAATATAAGCTTTTCCAACCACTGAAACTAAGCCTGTTACAGCTATTACTAGCTTAGGGACTGTCATTTTACAGCCAAAGAATACAAACAAGCCTCTATGCTAACCTTTCTCAAAAGGAACAACCTGGCCAGAACTGTCTCATGAAAGAAGTCACCTCTCCTTCCACCTCCGCCTTCTCCACCAAAGCAACGAGAAAGACAGACATTGAAGTGAGAAGAAAGAATGCAGGGGGAAGAGTGAAGGCGGTGGGAGTATGTAGGACATGACAGGCTGCATCTCAGTCTTACTAAGTTTTTAATGATCAACCAATTAATTTATTTTCATTGTTTGGTTTTTTTTAGTCTTCAAAATCTGCAGTTCCAAAACATTTGCTTTAATTACTATCTGCAAAAAATGCAGACTATTAAGCCTGTAAATTCAACAGAATGGGTTCTTTTCTTATAGCTTTTTGAACATGTTATTTAGTAGGATTCAGCAGCTGTTTAAAGCCATGGCACACATAGCAGCAGTCACTTCAAAATCGGAATCAAGTACGCTCAGAAAAGCTCATCAGCACCAAAATCCATCATGTTCCAAAGACAGAAGGAATAGGCAGTCAGCATGACAGTGAAAGCACCCTCCCTACCCTGGTGTAAAATACCACTAGACAACCACTGGTGATATTCTTCTTTCTTTCATGGTAGCAACTCCTACATCTCAGTGAACTTGAAACTTCTTAGAAATCAGCACCTGCAGCTGTTACTGGTTCTCACCAAAGCCTCTCTGAAAGAAGCTGCAACTCCTAAATTCAAGTCCTGCGTTACAATCTGTCCATCTGCCTTTGGCATCCATGCCAAAGGCTGCTGACCCCTGCTTTATAGTATGGGCCTCTCATGGAACAACTGGTGTTGGTTATAGAGTGACACTACTGTAATACAGAAATACCAAAATGATTACAAAAACTGCCCAACGGCTCTCAATAAATGCCAATAGCAATTTGTAACTATTAACAAGTTCATAGTATCACTTTAAAAGCAATTTATAAGTGAAAAAACCTTACTTTTGCAACTGGAGAAAGAAAAAAGGTAAACAGATGACGCTGCTAACATAAAAAAATAAAAAGTGGACCTGTGTACGAAATTGGTAGTTCCGTCAATAGGGTCTATAATCCATGTGGGGTTATCTGTCAAAACGCTGCCCTCTCCAGCTGCAACAGATTCTTCTCCAATGAAGCTAGAGTTGCAAAAACAAGATACAAAGAAATTATTTAAAAGGTTTGAATTACAACACTGTCCTTGAAATTAAAATTCTTAGAAGTGAAATGTAGGCTTTTGCACCATCAGTGATCATATCGAAAAAGTTGAGAAATACAGTTTATCTGGAAAGCACCAACGACATCTGACCAAGCTTACACCAATATTTATCATGTCACAGATAATCACAATATGTGGGGAAGAGATCTTAATGTAATTAACTTTACATTTTAATATTGAAGTTTTCATCATTTTTTTCCAGTAACACCATCATCAAATTTTAGTCAGAATAATTGTAGCTATTTACACCTTTCAGTTTATTTGTACTATAAACCACTACTTTTTAGCTTATGTTTTAACTGAAGAAAGCCTTTGTGGTCATACGCATCTGGTTAGACCACTGCAGTAACTGTCAAATTCATAGTCTAATTTCAACCCAAACAAGACATGAAGCTGTTAGTCTCAAAACTGTTCAGTTTTACAAGCATTACAAAAACTGAAGAAGGCGGCAGAGTGCATGCTCAACCCTAACACTAAACCCGAGGTATATACAAGGCACAGTGCTACAGGAACCCAAATTTCACCATTTTTGCTGCTCATGAAAGTATTTGTTTTGAACTGCAAAATTATTGGGATAAGTGGGTCGAATTCTCTTCTATGCCTTTCGTATGTTGTTAGATTTATCACATATTACTGATCCTATGAAAAGCATGCATCAAACACATGCCTTCCTCCACTATCATGTAAAATGAGGAGAACTGCTGAGTAAACAAATAAGCTCCTTTAATATTAATTAGGATTAACTATGGAAGTGAAGATGATTGCTCAGAAAGAAACAGCATGTTTCCAAAAAGCAGTGGATCTTCACCAAGAGAAGAGGGAGACTGAATAGTTATCTAGGTGGATGAGTAATTTATTACAAAGAGAAATCCAACACCAGTACGTCAAATATGGTATCGATTATCTAATATAAAAAGAAGCTACAATATTCTAAAATGTTTATCAATGCCACAGAAACTGTTATTTCAAGGTCATTCCATAAATCTGTATGCTTACACTAATTTGGTTAGATTACTGACATTTTGCATCACCTCAGTTGTTCCAATTCTATGCATATTTATTACATTTCACATAAACGGCTACAATAAGAAAATCTCCAAGAAAATGCAAGGAAAAATAGTAAACCCACTTTAAGGAAACTGTATTAAACCTGAGGCACTATGTCAAAACGGGAAAGAAAGTCCTATGTAAGTAAAAGTAAGTGAAATACATACAATTCACCCTTCAAGCATAAATTTATTTTGGTGGGCAGGAGGAGCAGGGGGAGTAAAAAAAAAAAAATGGAGGAGCAATAAAAAAATCAGTGTTTTCTATGACAGACTTTCAGTTGTGCAGAATCAGAATATTCTGTCTTCTTTTAAGGATGTTTGATGTTCTTAAAGTGTAGGAGATTTGCCAAAGGCACACTCATGGGACTCATCCAGCACAGACAGTGAAGGCATGCTAGTTTCAACAGCCACCAGCAGACAAGAAATTTGGGTTCTGGGTATCTTGGGGCCACCTTTGATTCTCCAGCACAAGTAACCAAGAAGTTACTTACAGCTGGCTCTACTGGAAGTGACTTTCAGCATAAGTCTTGAGCTCATGTCAGCAGACCCTGGGGACACCTTGTTTTGTTACTACAGCCCTGGGCAAAACTTCCAACGCACTACTACTCTAAAATACTTAATATATTGAGGCGAAAAGAGAATTCTGTAACTTTCCAGCATGCCAATCGTAAAGAAATTATACCTAGAAAAACCATAGACTTTCCATTTTCTTCTTCAAGTCACCTCTCCCCTTCTTCTGCCAAAAGTGTATCGATAAAAAGCCATACCTGTGAGAAGGATACTTTTCTTTTATCAAAGAAATAATGAAGTTTTCTACTTTTTGATCAGTTTCTGTCACTAGATCTACTGGTGAACTTTTAGTCATAATAGATATTTCTTCTTTGAGTGCTCCACGGACTATCTGTTAACAAGAAAAAAAAAAAAATCTTTCTCCAGTAACAGTATGGAAAATATTAGTTTTCCCAAAAATCTGATCATCATTTTTAGCGTAATTTTCTGTACTGCACATACAAAACAAACACAAGCAGTGACAAAACGTGGATTTAATTGCAGGAGCTGAGGCTTACCCCTGCATCTATCTCCAGTCCCTACCCCACACAAAATTTTACACGACCTTAAATCTAAGGACTACATGAAGATCCACTGGTACATGAAATTGAGCTCTATTTTGTTATGACAAATTTTAGATTTATAAATTTAAGTAACAGAGGTGAAGGAAACACTTAAGACTGAGCTTAAGTCAGCTACTTTTAGCCAGACTCTGCATTTATGATCTTAAAACTGTTAGTATCAGCTTAAGCAAGAATCCATGCCTCACAGCCCACAAAATTATTTTACTATAACTTAGAAAGATTTTCTGAGGGAAGACTCTAATGAGGTCATTGCAGGGGCAATGATCTGCAGATTCTGCAGCTCCAGGGAACAGAATTAGTACATGTGCCATCTTGTCAAGCTGCCATAGCATTCAAATGTACCAGGCAGAACTACCAAGAACTGAACATTTGGTAATCACTCTTATGCTGAGGCTCTGCCAAGACGTGCAAACTACTTGTTCTGAGCCATCTTAGATCACAAATGGGCAAATTACCACCACTGCAAGGGATGATGCTTATTTATAGAAGTAAAGGAGCCTTTATGAAGAGAACACGATGAGGTACCTTGTGGCAACAATAAGCCACTGTATAAAGTTGACTGAAGTGTTTGCAAGACACACTGTCAACAGCTTTCAGATGGTAAAATAATAAGGTGCAGTTTAAGGGGAAAACCAGAGATGCTCTTTATTTACCACAGTTCAATTTTTTTTTTTTTAATAAAATTTAAGGAGCAAAAGATACTCCTTAGTCTTTAATCAGACTCTGGTCTGAAGAAAAGTGCAAAGTTGTTTTCTTCAATTAACTAAGCTGTGAACATGAAAGACACTTCAGTCTTAAACTTGAACACTGACCGATTCTGCTAATTTATGCTTTTGATAAAATATTGCTCAGAATAACATCCAACATCAAACTCCTTCAAAAGCTATATACATGCTAGACTCAATAAACAATGTTATTATTTACAGATAGTTTATACTTACCTCCCCAGCTTTCCTTGCTAAAGCAACTGCATAATCCATACACTCTTGCCAAGGATCTGCCATCTTTTCTTAGATATACAGCCTACCAAAAAGACAGATTAACACAAAAATGATTATGGCTATTTTTTTCACAAATTCTAATTTTCTACGCCCCCCTGTTCTGCACTGCACTGTTTTCCCCTTGCTGGAAGCTTGTCCTATCCTTTTCCCCTTGCTGGAAGCTTGTCCTATCCTTTTACTCTGGGGAAAAAAAAAAAACAAAACCAAACAAAACGTATTAAAAGCTTAGCCTAAGTTACCAGGCATAATATAAAAACATTAACAAGTACAGAACCTCAGACCTGAAAGATACATGTGTATACAAGATTCCACATTTAGACACTGACCTCAATGTACATAAAGGCTCTGAAAAGCAACAGTGTGGTTACACACAAGGACATTCTCAAATACAGTGTACAGCTCAGGGCCTTTTTCTTAAAAATACTAGAATCTTCACTGTAAATTATTGCTGCTGACATACAGCTTAGCCTACTTATAAGCATGGTTTAAATTACTTTGAGTATTTTAAAGTAGAAGATTAGAATCTTAAAGCCCAAATCTAACCTTTCTGTATTTTAGTCCTCCATGCCTTGTTCTAGGGGTTTACTCAAAACACAAACATAAAATGGTTTTGATTTTACATTATAAAGTTACAAAATCCCACAGTCATTTAAAAGTATGTTCTATACCTCCAACAGACCACAAATTCATTCAATGACGTAATGGTATTCTGAATTTTGGAAGTCTGTTTCATTTTTGAGCCCTAGCCCTCTCAGAAGCCTTCTGGGTACTTCCTGCTTAAAGTGATTCAGTCTTTAAGTGGTGACCTGGGTAACAGTTTTGCAACACTTGCACATTCACAAAAATTAGATAAATGATCATTAAAAAAACCAGCACTGAAACAGAATAAAAAAATGTGCGCAATTAACATGATCCACAAGTCCCAAGCCCAATCATCCTGATCTAATGGTCCTCGCCTCTTTCCATCTTGGTCCTAAACAGGTAGGCATAGCTAGAAAAGCTAAGTAAAATGCAAAGGGTATGATGCTTCAGTTATGCTGATAACGTTCTTTACTTATCATAGCCTTTACAGTATAGGTTCTGTTATATAAACAGAGAAATAATTTGTCAGGACACAGAACTGGGTACAACACCACTAGATAAAGTTACTCTGTTACCCATAAAAGACTGGTAGTACCAGGGGAACCTTGAGTACACTGATACCCAGCACGACGGCACAACTTCATGTAGCAGAGGGAAAAAAACCCACCATCACTGACATTTAAAACCTCATCAAAACAGTAACCCCAGAACAGGTATTCTAGTTAAATAGCAGCACCTACATTGATTGGAAGAAGTGTCTCCCCCCCCTCCCCCCAGCTTAGTTTTGTCCTCTCCGAATGCCCCGTGACGAGTTTGTCCCACAAACTCAGGGCGTGCGTTCAGAGCAGAGGTTTGGCTGCCGGGCTGGAAGGGTTGAAGGGCGGCCCGGCCCGGCCCGGG